TCAGAGAAAACAATCAAGGTAAAGAGATATATTTGAGGGTGGCCAAATTTTGATCTCCCACAGTGTCTTAATAAATATGGACTACTGTAAGGAATACATGGATTTTTGTTAGGTAGAAGGATGTTTTTTCAAATTGTCTGCAGTGTTTTTATATTCCAAAAATAACTTTAAAAATGGCATAATGGATACCAAATAAAACTATTGTTTTTTATGACTACTATATAGTATGAAAAAGAGAAGCTTTGTAAAACTATTGTTCATTGAAGTCCTGAAGCCTTTTTACTTAATCAGTATAAGATTGACATTTGAGGAAAATGTGTTGCTGCTCTGTTGAAGATATATTGTCATTTCTGTTTTTGTTAATTTTTATATTTTAACAGTGCCCCTATGTCTGCCATTTGTTATATTTACTTACCAAAAAAGAGAATGGTGAGTACTTTCATTCCAGTTGTATGACATTCACTCTGTGGAATTAGCATTTGTATTGGCCTTTATAAAGTTGACTATTAGCATTAGTTCTGTGACAGGATTTTGTGGGAATTACTTTTTAGTACTTTTATCTAAGAGCATCTGCTTAATGGCTTAACTGAACAGAGGGTTAATATTCTTGATGTGTTGTAAGAAGAAGCTATGTGAACCACATGGTTTCTTTTTATTCTGAACCGCATGCGTAGTATTTCTTTCCTTTACCTTTTTTAGTTAAACCATTTCGTGTGAGAAAACTGCTTGATCTTCAGGCCAAAATGGTGAGTACCGAAAAGACCTAAAACTGGCCAGTGTACTGTGTGCTAGGCTTTGGGGATATAAAATCGAATGAGTCATTATCTTCAAGGAACTTGTTGTCTGGGGAGCTCGGTCAACAAAGCAAAAAATCAGAATCAGACTAGGGTCAAGAAGGAGTGGTGATGCTTGTAAGGAATTTTAAGGGATGAATAGGATTTAACTAGGCCAAGAAGGAAGAGAAGGGCACTCCCGGCAGAGGGAACAGCATGAGCAAAGACATGTAGATGTTGAACAGCAGAAACTGTTTAGGGAACTTGGTTGGTATGGCTGGAAAATACGTGTCAGAGAGTAGTAAAAAATGACTATTTTATTAAAGTGACTATTTTTTTTGTGGATGTGATCTAGGAAAACATTCTTTTCTGGGTACTTAAACTTCAGTATATTCCCTGACCATTATCTCTTGTCCTTAACAGCTCTTTTGCATTGTTATTTCCACTATATCTGCCAGGTAACAGAAGTCTGTGAAGCTTTGGGTATAAAACAATAAAACCTATTGCTTTCCTATGCCTAACTGCTGAAGCCTGCATAACCTACCTGAAGGCATTCACATTTAATGAAAAACACAAACACATGTGTACATTCGTGCTTTTCCAGTGTGAGGTTTCCTGTTAGTACAATTCAATGATTGATCTTGTTTTATAGCTTCCTTTTTTGGTTCTATGGGTGCCATATCTTTTCTTAGCTCTTTGAGGATATTAATAATAATGTTTTTGTCTAAATTGAATTTTATTTCACATGAATAGAAATTGTGAAAAAGATTTACATTTTTCCACGTTAACAGCAAAACGTTTCAACAGAATAAGAAAATTCTTTTTTTTTTTTTTTAAAGATTTTATTTATTTATTCTTTCCCCCCAAAGCCCCAGTAGATAGCTGTATGTCATAGCTGCACATCCTTCCAGTTGCTGCACGTGGGACGCGGCCCCAGCATAGCCGGAGAAGTGGTGCGTGCCCGGGATCCGAACCCGGGCCGCCAGCAGCAGAGCGCATGCACTCAACTGCTAAGCCACGGGGCCGGCCCGTGAATAAGAAAATTCTTACCACAAATAAAATCTTGCTGTTTTATGTTAACTGAAACGACAGTGTATGTTCAAGTTAAAAAAATGCTTCAGTATATGATTGTCTAAAAATTTTAAGCCTAGACATTAAATGTATGTCTTCATTATTAACATTCTATATAGTACATTACTAAATTATTCCATTATCAATGCCAATTTATAAAGATGCATTCATAAAATTGTTTTGATTAGCTGGATTTTGGTGAATTTGGTTAAGTCCAACAGTATAAAACCAAGAAGACATAGCCATGCTCACATGTAACTGAACATATATAATGGCAATACTCATAATCAACATATGCTAGCAAATATATTGGATCTGTGAATTTCCAATACATGCACAGGCATGTATCCCCTCTATACCCATCTGTGGGGGAAGAGGGAGAATCCCCCTCTGCCCTTTCCCTTAATGTTCTTATGGCTGGCCAAATAATTAACAAGACAGGTTAGCAGGAGTAAATAATATCAAGTTTAATGACATGTATACATGGGAGAAACCAGGGACACTGCGTTTCTCAACACCATAGCAGAGATTCTCGTCTTAAATACCATCTTCAGCTAAAGACAAAGAAGGATATTGGGGGTGGGGGGAGTCAGTTATGGGAGATTACCACTGAAGCACAGTAAACAAGAGTAAGGTTATTATGCAGATTTAAGGCCTCACCTTCCACATTGATAAGTTTCTAGAAATGAGGTCATCCCCCCTCTTCCCAATACAGAGAGGGAGATACCTTTACAAATGGAGATTTCCCTTATAAATGTAAATGTTTGTCTGGCAACTCCTTGTAGGGCCATGTAGAGAATGTGGCCAGAGAGACAGAATTTTTGATAAGATGGGCTTGTTGGTGCCTTTCCTATTGTAAAATCTATTTTACATTATATTACAGCCATCAGATAGTAACTCCTTCCTGGAACAGATCTTCTATGTCAAATTCTTTAGACAGTTAGTGGGGGAGGTCAAATGTCGGTCAGAGAAAACAATCAAGGTAAAGAGATATATTTCAGGGTGGCCAAATCTTGATCTCCCACACATCCTTGCCCTATAACTCCTAATCCATGGAAGGAAACAAAACATGGAAATTGTCTTTCTGGTAGCAAGCATGAATGGTGGGAAGTGGAGCAGGCATGTTGTTATCTTACGTGCACCAGGCCCTGTTGAGAGCAATCTTTGGGACAGGAAGGAGGAGTTAGTTCTTATCTTAAGGGTTGGTGAAGATGGTTTCTGGGATTGTCCCCCCACTAGCATGAGCCTGTGTGACTTGGACTGTGATTTTTTTTTTTCTGTTCCTAGCTTTGTCTCTGTTTCCTCAGAGTTCCTTTCTTTAGTTTGTTTGGTCTTTCATGGTGGAGTCTTTTCTCAAATGCTTGGTAAACCTTGGTTGTTCATATTTAATAGTAAAGCACTAAAATGGTGATTGGAAACTTATGTGTGTGAGCAAGACTTGTTCATTGTAGGATCTTGATGTTTCATTGGGGAGCCTCCCAGATGACTGTGTTATTTTTTCCCAGAGAGGAATTCTCCTCTTTCCTGCCTAGGGGTTCTGTTAGTCAGCCTTCTCCAGAGAAACGTAACCAATAGGATGTGTGTATATATGTAGAAAGAGATTTGTTATAAGGAATGGCTCACATGATTATGGAGGCTAGCAAGTCTAAAATCTGCAGGGTAGGCTAGCAAGCTGGAGACTCAGGAGTGCTGATATTCCATTTTGAGTCTACAGGCAGTCTGCTGTAGAACCAGGAAGAGCCAGTGTTGCAGATAAAATCTGAAGGCAGTCTGCTGGAGAATTCTCTCTTGCCTGGGGGAGGCTGGTCTTTTTGTTCTGTATAGGCCTTCAACTGATTGAATGAGACCTACCTACATTATGGAAGGCCATCTGCTTTTCTCAAAGTCCTCCAATTTAAATGTTAATCTCATCCAAAACACCCTCACAGAAACACCCAGAATAATGTTTGACCAAATATCTGGGTACCCCGTGGCCTAGCCAAGTTGACGCATATAATTAACTGTCACAGGGGTATAAACCTGGCTACTAGCACTCTGGGACATAAGCACTGGAAAGGGATGGGAAAGATCCTAGTACCCTCCCTCAGCTGTGCCTGCTGAGTCCAGCTTCATCTTCAGAGAGTAGAACCTTGATGTTTGCCAATGTAGTGAAGGAATTTGGAGTTCTAACTGCTTCACATGTAGGCTTTCAACAATCTTCCTGTTTTCTGTCCCTCTTGGATCTCTGCTTTTCAGAGATATCTAGTTCCTCAAATTCCTGAGCCTCTCTGGGAGTTCTCAAGCATGAATCTGCTGCTTTTAAGGCTTTTTCTGTTGCTACTTTTGAGTTTGTTTTCTCTGTTCTGCTAAGTTGGTTACTATTTGCCCATCTTCATTCTAGGTTCCAAAGTCTTGTTGAGATCTCTCATTTGCTTTGTCTCCTCTCTTGTTCTCTTTGAACTTGTGCTTTATGCCTTTTTCATTCCTTTACTTTTTAGTGGGGCTTTGGGAGGACCCAGAGTTAAACACGTATGTTCAATATGCCACGTTTAACTGGAGGTCTCCTTTTAAAAAAAACAGAGAATATTAACTTTTTAACAACAAAGATAGGTTTAGTTAACTAGACAATAAGTTCTAAAGGTCTCGCCACTACTAAATATTTGCTCTACCAAAAAACATTCCAACTCAAAGGAAACACTCTGATACTAATTGATAGTGAGTACAGTGATCAGAAGATATTTCAACATAGATAAACTGGATCATTTTGATTTTGTTATAATAAATTTAATTTCAAGAAGCTGTTATAAAATAGGAATACTGTGTTTCTAAGCCCCAGTTTCTGCCTTTTTTTGTGTACAGTATTTGATTCAACAAAATTGTAATATAATAAAACAATTTGGTTACGTCCTTAGAATTCATTTTAGTGGTGTGCTTTCTCTGGATAGCCAGATATCTCAAACAGAGGTATCCAGCAGTAATAACTTCTGTCATTGTAAAATTAATGTTAAGATTTGTTTCATTTATATCAAGCTGCTTGACTGCTGCATACCAGTTGTTAGATTTCCCAGTTAGTTCTCCGGGAATTCTGATAAGAAGGTATTAATATTTCCTTTGCTCTGTTTTCTTGGCTTCCTTTTTTGTCCTCCTGCCTTGCTGTCTAAATCAAGAATGAGTAAACTTTGAGTCCTGAGTATGCTGCCGGTGAGAGTAAGCCATACTAGCAGGTATAACTGGTAAGCCTAAGGCATAGGGGCAGAGAAGGAGATTAAATAGGAAGAGAAGAAGGGAGAAGATATAAGGAAGAGGTAAAACAGGGGAAAAGGTCACAAAAGAGAAGACCACAGTTTGGTGAGGGTTGTTTTATGAGAGTTGATTTAAATGTCTGGTTATTCATTCCTTGATTTTTTGAAGTATCTTCCTATAGCTACATCACATAGTAAAATTAGGGTCTGAATATATATTTAATCTGTTTATTGTTACTTTTTTTTTCCTTACTTGCCACAGAATTGAAAATTGAAAACTATTTTATTTCAGGGAATGCAGCCTCATCTCCAGGCTTTGTTGTCACTATATAAGTTCTTTGTTCCTACTTTGATTTCTGTATCTTTGCCTGTAAGGAAGAAGGTAAGGAATTAAGGAGCTATAAGTCATATTGAGATTGAAATATGTTATTTTGTATTGTTAATTTATAGATTTGGACTAAAATGTTTACAGCAGACTGTTTTAAGATCTAGCATTGTGGCACTGTTTGGGGGAATTTTTTTTAGGGATTGGCACTTCGTTTTGATTCGATTTGATGTATTTAATAGTTTCCTGATCAGAAAAAAAAAACTTTAGATGGAATTGCATGGGTGCAAAATATTTCATAATATACTTTCAAGTAATGAAGAGTTTTAGATTTTATGTTGCTCTGAGTTGTGGGTACTTACTCTCATGTACTTTACGTCCAAATTTATAGATCTATTTTAAGAATTCAGAGAATCTATGGAAGACGGCTCTACTTGCTGTGAGGCAAAGGAATCAAAGACCTTCTCCAGAACCTTTAAAGCTGATGTTAGGTCCAGCTAATGTCCGTCCTGTAAAAAGAGTAAGTATCTAAAACCTCAAATGACTTGTGTGGACTTCTTTTATTAAACCCAAACAATAACCATTCATGTGTTGGAAGAGATTGTAGATATTTAAATACATTTTAGTTACCCAGGATTCTATGCAAACCACGTTCAGACTCCATTAATTAAACCACCTTAACAACTGCTTTTATATTTATAGTTTGTAGTCTGTTTAGTCCATTGATAGACTGTTTTATTATCTTTCTTCGTTAGAAATGGAATTCTCACTCAGTTATACCAGTGCTAAATTCTAGTAGCTGCAATAAAGAATGTGGAAAAAAAGGGATGAGTCTTTCTGATTATCTCAGTAGCAATGGATCATTTCCACTAGAACAGCTTAAAAGCTTCCCTCAACTCTTACAGAACATCCATTGCTTAGAGGTATGTGACTGGACCATGTGTTCATTTACATTTTCCATTTGATCTTCATGGCCTTTATTTTATCTGTTTCCTATCTGATGATTTCCTTGTTGTTCTGACCTACTTTTCAAATGCTTATGGTTGATCAATCGTTCTGTCTTTGCAGCTGCCTTCTCAGATGGGCTCAGTACTGAACAACTCTCTGCTACTTCATTACATTAACTGTGTCAGAGATGAATCTGTCTTACTGAGGCTCTATCACTGGTTGAGTCAAACATTGCAAGAAGGTAAAAATTGATATTTAAAAGTATTGGATGAATGAGGAAGGAACGAGATAGTGTACAAATGGGTTTCTTTTATAAGGGTACCAAATTCTAAACAGCTTTTATTTATTATTTATTTATTTTATTTATTTATTTTTTTTGTGAGGAAGATCAGCCCTGAGCTAACATCCATGCTAATCCTCCTCTTTTTGCTGAGGAAGACTGGCTCTGAGCTAACATCTATTACCAATCCTCCTTCTTTTTTTCCCTTTTTCTCCCCAAAGCCCCAGTAGATAGTTGTATGTCATAGTTGCACATCCTTCTAGTTGCTGTATGTGGGATGTGGCCTCAGCATGGCCGGAGAAGCAGTGCATCGGTGCATGCCCAGGATCCGAACCCAGGCCGCCAGCAGCGGAGTGCGCACGCTTAACCGCTAAGCCACGGGGCCGGCCCAGTCCTTCCGTTCTTAAATTACCCCCAGCTCACCCTGATTGAAGTTTAGGGCGTTCTCAAACTTTTAATTCATACATTTATAGTCTCTTGGATTACTCTGTGACATAAAGCTAATCACATTATACAGTCAGCCCTCTGTATTTGTGGGTTCTGCATCTGTGGATTCAATGAACCAAGGATTGTGTAATGTTTACATTCCATGGTTGTTGAATCCGCAGATGTGAACCTGCGGATACGGCGGCCAACTAAGGGACTTGAGCATCCGCGGATTTTGTTATCCTCAGGAGGGTCCTGGAACTAATCCCCCGCAGATACCGAGGGACGACTATATGTGAATTTTACCAGTTTATTTTTTCCTATAAGCTTTCCCCCTATATTACCAAGTTTTTGAGGAATGTCTGACTATCACCGCCACATACATGTTACTGTCTACAGTGTGAGTTGGCTAGGGTGTATAAGACTGATGGTTTGTTTATATTTGTCACTTTACAGTTGTGGTAATTATGTTTTGTAGAGTTTTTATTGTGCAACTAGATGCTTATGTTTAATATTCTGCTCCAGAATGTATTTGGTACAAGGTGAATAATTATGAACATGGAAAAGAATTTACCAGCTTCTTGGACACTATCATCAGAGCAGAGTGCTTCTTACAAGTAAGATTCCACTTGCTTTGTACACGCTCCACCACTTCTTACTAAAATTTATTTCGATATCTATTGAATACCTTTTCTTTAGTGCTTGACATCTTTTGTAAATAGTATCTGCTCAATTAAAAAGTCATTATAAATAGAACTGAGTTGAACTGACGTTTGTCTTTGTACTGTTGGATTTGAAGAAAGAATTTGTTAAATTATGCAAATAAGAGGGAAAGGCCTATAATTTAAGAGAACAAACTGAAGGTGTAATTGACTACATTCAACTAATTGAATTAACCGTTAAGATAAATCTCATAGGGTTACTACCTGTGTTCCTAGAATCAAGTATATTTTGAATGTTGAATATGTTCCAGCCAATTAATTATTTGGCCTAGGTAACCCTGAGTTGTACTTTAAGCTGTAACTCAGGAATCAGTACCATCAAGAAGCCTTGACTCAACACCCCAGGTTGGGTTAGGTGTTTGTTCTGTCAGCTCCCCTAGCTCTCTTTGTTTACCTGTATCATGACACTTTCAGCATCTGTTTTTCCACACATTATGAGCTCCTGGTGGGTGGCAACCATGTCTAACTTTTCTTCATGTACAGGTGTTTAGCTTGGTACCTGATGTTCTCAATAAATGTTGACTAAGTCTTAAGGATTTAGTGTGAAACCGTTGAATTGAAAGTTGGGTGTGGATGATAGTGGTGAGGATAAAGGAACGAATTTAGGTTGAATTTAGGCCTTTTTAGGTTTCCTGCTTGGGAGGATGATGGCATTCAGTGAGAAAGGGAATACAGTGGAGCAGGCTTGGAAATAAAGATGAATTTGATTTAAAAGATGCCTGTGGGGCGTCTAAGAGGTCATATCCAGTAGGCAGGCAGATAATGAGTCTAGAGCTCAGGGATGAGATTTGGGTTAGAGATATAGATTTAGGACTCATGATATAGGTGGTGTTTTTACCTATGTTATGGATGAGATTGTCCAGAGAATTCATATCATGAGAAGAAGGTCTAGGATGGAGTCCTGCTGCATGCCACTATTTAAAGCTCAGGGTAATAAAGGAAAAAAGGAAAGCCCTGGATCTTCTCTTTAGTGGAAACATAAGCAGCCTAGACACTCAGGCTTCTCCAGATGGAGCTTCCCAGAGTTTGGATTTGGTCTATGGCCTCTAATAAAATTCCAGCCCCATTATAACACTGGATACATTTTATTGACTGTTCAAGTGACTACATATACTCCAAAGTAGTACAATTTCATTTATCTTTGAAAATATTCCATAACTTGACTTTTTACCTTCTTTCCAATTGATGAGGTTATATGGTGTTTGAAAATTGTGTTGATAAAGATGGTACTGTGTCCAAATATTAATGTATCAAATATTAATCATCTGATCCTTTTTATGAGGAAGTCTGGCACCTAACCCATGGCTTTTATTATGTTGATGACAAAAAAAGTAGTATAAATAAAACAACTATAGTACAAAAGAAGCTGGTTGTTTAGAGTAGTTATGGACTGAAGGGTTCCATATAAGGTTCTGCTATTGACTTGTGTTACAGGAGGGGTTTTATTCCTGTGAAGCATTCCTGTATAGGAGTCTTCCTCTCTGGGATGGCCTCTGTTGTCGGTCACAGTTCCTTCAGCTTGTGAGCTGGATTCCTTTTAGTAGCTTCTCTGGTATGTATCATGAAAATTTGGAGTCATTTAATTCAATGTAATATTAATTAAAAGGATCTTGAATAATCTTTTTTTTTCTAATTCCTAGAGGTGAAACCACTTCTTTTTGACCATCTAGCACAGTTCTTCTTTACATCAACCATTTATTTCAAGGTAAAAAAAAACTGTCTTGCTTCGATTCAATAGGAAGTATTATTCTATGGCCGGCAGTACATGATTCAAAACCCACATTATAGCAATGGTTTTCTAACAGGATTCTCTTAGACCTGGGCTTGAGGTGCTGCATCACTCAAATCAAAGTTAACGCATAGAATTTTCTCTTTTTAAGGTTTTGTTGCATACAGCTTTCTTGAACTGTTTCCACTTACAGCAGATGACAAAGTGAATGAACAGGTGGCAAATGAGTATTAATAAACCGAGAAATACTTTACTTAGTTTGCTTCTTGTGGTTGATATTTTTTGAGATATACTTATTCATTTCACAAGTATTTATTGAGCACCCACTATGTACAGATGCCCTTCTTGACACTGGGGTTACAGTAATACCAAAGCAAATAAAACTCTCTATGACATTCATACTATATATTTATAATATAGTCATTTTCTGCTAATAAAATTGTTCTAATCTTATATGGTATAATTAAAATGTTACTATTTTGGAGTATTCTCCAAAAAGACCGCTGTGGCTTCCAGGAGTTCTACCTAACTGAGTTTGAGACCTACTTTCTTACAGAATGGTTATTTCTATTCCAAAAGGGTGACAATGTAAGTAATGTTTCTTTTATAACTTTTTTTCACCTTAAATCACTTACCGTTGGCCACGTTTACAGGAAAAATATGTTGCCCTGGTTAGTGTTCGTCATAATCAAATGACACTTTATTAAGTACCTATCACACTAACTTGGATTTGAGGTTTGTTTATATTATTTGTAACTTACTACCTGACCAATATCTTCATTCACATGACAATACACACTTCTTCTCCCCAGCTAATACATTTTCAGGAACTTCATTTTGCAGCTTTTTGTGATTCTCTTCCAATCTTCTAATTGGGTTGTTCTTTGTTTCTTCTATTATTCCACCAATCTAGAGAGCATAAATATTTATTTATTTATTTTTAAATTTTATTTATTTATTTTTTCCTCCAAAGCCCCAGTAGATAGTTGTATGTCATAGCTGCACGTCCTTCTAGTTGCTGTATGTGGGACGTGGCCCCAGCATGGCCGGAGAAGCAGTGAGTCGGTACGCGCCCAGGATCCGAACCCGGGCCGCCAGCAGCGGAGCGCGCGCACTTAACCACTAAGCCACGGGGCCGGCCCGAGAGCATAAATATTTATAAATATTAGGTTGAACCATATGAAATTGCCATTTTTGTAGGTTAAAGATGTTTGACAATTGGCAATTTCATATGGTCCAACTTAATAAGTATATATACATTTTTATGCACATGCATATATTTATATTTGAGCATGGTGGGTCAAGGAGAGAAAGGGATAGAGGAAGGGAAATAGACAGTGGGCTAAGAACAGAACTCAGGGGACTACTCAGTACTTAGTTCTCGGCTGAAAAGGACAGTCTATGAAGAAACCTTTTCAAGAGACGTGAAAAGAACCAGAAGAACATCAGTGTCAAGGAAGCAAAGAGAATACAGGGTGTCAACAAGGAGTGAAGGAATAATGTTGCCATATATCCCAGGAAGGTCCAGAAAGATAAGGACTGAAAAACATTTCTTTTGGAATTGATAATACAGAGGTTTTGGCTACCTTTGTGAGCGGTTTCAGTGGGGTGTAGGGGTAGAAGCTAGATTGTGGAGGTTGAGGAGTCAATGAGATGTGAAGATAAGACAGTGAGTATAGACTATGTTTTAGGCTAAAAAGAAGGCTAAAACATGAAGACAAGACAGTATAGACTATGTTTTAGGCTAAAACATAGGCTAAAAAGTAGGCTAAAAAGAAGAGGTAGAGAAATAACTGTAGTGGGACTTTGAATGAAGGGGAAGTTGTGGGATTTTTTTTTTGACCCCAGAATGAGAGAAACCTGAGCACATTTGTAGATAGAATAGAAGGAGCCAGTTGAGAAGAGAGAGAGGTTGAAAATGGAGGAAAGATGGGGGATAATTGGTGGTGCAGGATTTGAGAAGAAACGTGAAAGTATTGGTTTAAAACTAGGTAGAGGGGTTTGCTTGAATGGATGGTGGGGGTTGGGAGGTACCACTTATTCTCTAAGACTGGGGTCAAGGACTTATAGATGGGTGGATATATAGATATATTTGTATAGTTGGAAGAAAGGGCAAGAAATTGAAATACTTTGTGCCTAAAAGTGTTCAATTTCTCAAAATAGGAAGCACGTTGTAGAGGATAGAGTTGAGTAGGGAGCTTCAAGGAGGGTGTTATATGCTTAGGAAAGCCACTGAGAAAAATGGAAGAGAGAGCTGATTGAAGACAAGTAAAAGGATTATTGAGCTTCATTAAGGGCCCAGATGAAGTTGGAGACCATAAATTTGGAATGGCCACTCTGTATAGTTGTGTATTTTTCTTCAGCTCAGATGTAGGAGCAGAGAAAGTGAGTTAGGAGGTTGAATCAGTTGGGGTTTTGCTGGTTGAATGGAGTGCAAGGGAGTTGTGAATGATTGGCAATGTGGTCTAGTCTAGATAGGGAGATGAGGCCAGGAGAAGGCTGAAGAGCCTAAAAATTGAGATTAAAAATGAAGGAAATCAAGGGATTGAATGTCTCTGAAGGTGAAGAGCAAGAGTAACTAAAGTTGGAGCTGGAGGTGTGAGAAAGCCGGAAGGATAGGAAGTCATAACAAAGAAAGGATAATAGTCGATTTTGGTGGTGGTTCAGTTCAGGTTATGACAAAGTCTAGTGTGTGGCTGTGGGAGTGTGTAACTAAGGTAGAGTGAAGCTGAAGATTATTTGGTTTGAGGTCAAGGAACGGTGAAGCTGAAGTATTGGGCACATCATCTTCATGGACACTGACATAACTGAGTTGTTGATGGCAGGACATGAGGCAGAGAGTGCTGAAGTCCTCAATGAACGTAGATGAGTTTCTAGGGGGTAGATAGCAGAGGTATGGAAAGATAAAAAGTAAAAGGTAGTGTAGTTGCATAGTATAAACATCAAAGGAGAAAAGGTTTTTTACATAAGAAAGGAGGAATAATAGTTTGGAAACAGTGTTGAAGATAGATAGCTTTTGTGTTGTGTTTAAAAAACCAAAGGATAGTCAAATTCATGAGAAAAACCGACTATAGCCAAGTGCAATCAGAAATGGGGGTCTTTGGTCTTAGCCTAACAAATTCAGCTAATGTTAGCAGTAATTTAGCTAATGAGGTTCTGTAGCTCACGAAATATTTGTAAACGCAGTGGTCCCTCGGTATCCGCAGGGGATTGGTTCCAGGACCCTCGTGGATACCAAAATCGGCACATGCTCAAGTCCCTTATATAAAATGGCATAGTATTTGCCTATAACCTATGTACATCCTCCCGTATAATTTAAATCATCTCTGGATTACTTGTAATACCTAATCCAATGTAAATGGTTGTTATACTGTATTGTTTAGAGAATAATGACATGAAAAAAAGTCTGTACATGTTCAGTACAGATGCAGCCATCGTTTGCAATTGGTTGAATCCACAGATATGGAACTCGCAGATACAGAGGGCTGACTATTGTAAAACAAGGCCATTTTTTCTGTGGCCCCTGATTAAATAGAAGGTTCATTTGATTTCTTTTTAATATCTTTTTAAGTAAAGCTGACTCCCTTTTTAAAAGGAGATTCATTTCTGATTTTATATTTACCTTCTCAAAGAAGGGGCTTATATTCTGTTCCAATATTAGTAGTGGGGCGCTAGGACAGTGCTTACCTCCAGGTGTTGAAGTGAGATATGGAAATGTATTCACAAGAGACAGTGTCCTAGTTGGGTGGTGAGGGAGAGCCAGGATATGATTAGTGTAAGAAGACAGAGAAAGCCTACTTTGAAGAGTAGGAAGGTGTAGGTTTAGATAACCATGGAATAGAGGTTCTGGAAACTGCAATTGAAAGATTTGGGAAAGATGAGATCAGTGAAAGGGGGAGAGGAGCACTGAGCAGCATAGAGTACAAGAAAGGATAGGTGACCAAAGGGGTTTTCACTCTGAGTGGTGACTAAGGATAACAGTAATGTGACATGTGGTAGAATTAGCTAAAAATTCAATTGATTTCTGAGGCTTTTAGTAAGTAATTATTGCTTTATTATTGTATAGTGTGATTATTCAGCTTAGTCTGATAAATAAATATTTTTAAAAATCTATTAAAGTATTTTCACATTTTCAGTGCTTTTGTTTGTGCCTAGCCAGTTGTGCCTGTCAGCAGACAACTTTATTCATTGAAGCATTTTGAATGGGAAAAACCCACAAATCTACAGTAACATTGCTATTTTCATTTTGGCATGTTAATTTTCAAATTTTTATCTATATTGATTTATATCTCCTATGTAATTACAAACATAGTGGACATAAATTTAAAAATCAGAATACAAAATTAATATTGTATAACAATTTCTGTGTATCCAGATAGTCTTCATAATATTTTTAAAATGACATCATAGTCCATGGACATTATACCATAATTTATTTAATCTTTTCTCTATTATTATTTCTCATTTGTTTCTATTGTAGGAATAGATAACTATATTGATCAACTTCATAATATACATTTTTTCCTCTTGAACTATTCCCTTAGTGTACATTTCCACGAGTGAGGTTATTGGATGAAAGGAAAGGGCGTGAACACTTTTATGACTTTGATATGTACTGCTGTTCCTTTACCAAAGGGATGTACAATGCAAGTTCTTTGAAGGAAGATGGATATAATGGGTGGAATACTTAAATAATGAGGGTCTGGCAGCCATGGAGAAAGAATTGGGGTTTGAGAGACAAGACCAGCGTAAAGAAGACCAACTAGGAGGATAAAGTAATCTCAGAGATGTGAAGGCCTGGTCCAGGGTAGTTATAGAGGGATTGGAAGGAAATGGATAAGTTGGACATTTTGAAGGGAAAATGATTTGGTGACTGGAAATACAGCATGAAGGACACAAGACGACCTCAAGATTTCTAGCTTGGGACAATAAAGGAACCCGGGATATTTTGCCTGGGGGGAAAAAAAGAGATTTTTCTGGTTCCCTTCACATGACTGAAGGATTGTCGCATGGAAAGAACAGATCTCTGTGTGGCTGCAGGAGGCAGGATTATATATAGGGTAGTATCTTATAGGTAGAACAGACTCAAATGGAATAAAGGACCTTAAGAGGTAGTATATTTCCCAACAGTGGAGTAGGGCAGGCATAGATTTAATGGCTGTCTACTGGGGATATTTATGTAGAGAAGGTTCATGTGTAGGGTAGACCTGTGTTTCTCAGCCTTTTTTTTAACCAATATCCCCTTCTCATAAACATAAAAATCTCATGCTTTCCTTTAATATGGGGGCTAGATGGTATACAGTAGGTGGGTGGGAATTAAGGATTTTTGTTTTCTGGATATGACATAGTAATATTGAATACCTTTTCAAATGTTAAATTCCCTGGTTGACACCAAAGTAGAAGATTGTTTTAGATGACTCCAGTTACTTGCAACTCAAACATATTTATAACCTGAATGCAAGGTGTCCATTTCTAAAAAAAATATTAATTGAAGTGTTCTGTGAAGTAGCAATGAGCACCCTATCACTGGAGTTACTCAGATAGTATCTAGACCATTATCTATTAAGGATGTTTAAGAAATGGCTTCTTGTATAAGGTTTTGGGATGGTATGGATTGCCATCAAATTTATAGATATTCTGACTTACCCTCATAAAAGCCCTGGGCACACTTCTGTCAAGACTATATTTTTTGTATGTGAATGCGGCCCTGCGAAATCAAGGCAAGGCCTGAGAAAGGAAAGACTAGAATTGTTTGTTTTCCACAGTCACAGAAGATAAGATAAATTTTCTGGCCATCAAAAAGGGAGTAAATTGTAATTGGAGACACAAAGGGGGAGACTCATATCTGTAGCAACTTCAAAGGATCTCTGAGGGGAGACCATCAGGGGTGTGTGATGCTGTATTTGGTGATGTAGTATGTGTTATAAATGAATGTAATTTGGAGAAACAAGAGTCTGTTCCTAGGCTGATAAGTTGGGGAGAGCCCTGTAGAGGTGTGTTTTTTGTAGAGAAAATGGCAAAATAAACTTTTGCTTGCATTCATGTCTCCTGGAGACTGATCAGGTTGTAGCAGCAGCCATTGGGTTCTGAATTGGATGCGGTCATCTCCATGGTTCCTTCCACCTTTAAGCCTCTGGTTTGGTCTTTTAGTTCTCAACATTATGGTATGTCTGAATGATTTTACGAATGATTTTTTGTTTTGCCCCCTCAGTGTAGTGTTCTTCAGAGTCTGAAAGAGCTACTGCAGAATTGGCTGTTGTGGCTTTCTGCGGACATCCACATGAAACCTGTGATGAACAGTCCTCTGTGAGTTATCTTACAACTCTCCACAAGAGGTGATCTGTACAAAATGTTTGCATATGGAGTTTAATAGTGTGGCATGAGACCTAATTGTTTCATGTACATGCTTAGTCGCACTTTTCTAAAAAATTTTGTTACTTTTCACTCTTCTTCCCCACAGTTCTGTGAGGAAGGTTAATTCTTTAAGTTCTATTATATAAATCAGAAAGCAACCCCTAAGCCTCTAAGTGATTTGCAAGAGTTAATATAGCGAAACATTGGAGAGCTGATGTTAGAACTTACAACTTTGGCTTCCATTCAGTTTAGCTCACTTTATAAAATGTATTCATAGTTATATGTAAAGTCAATTTTGATGATAGCTAGGAAAATCTGTCATTTTGCTGTACAGTTTGTTTTTTTATGTTTCTTGGGTATATATCAGTCATATACATTAATTTATTTTCATTTTGGAATAAAAACGAACCCTACATTTCCATTATGTTTATTATTGTTAAATGTGTGTTTTACTCTCAAAGTGAAAGTAAAAGACTGACTGAATTTCAAGGAACTGCCTAATCAGGTTGTTTTAACTCTTTCTACCTAAAAGCTTTGGCTTCTCCTATATTCTATTATCAGGCACATTATTTTTTAACATTAATTTTTTTAAACTTTATATTATAGAAAATTGCAAACAAAATCGAAAGTAGAGAAAATAGTACAGTGTTACCCCTATGTATGCATCATTCAGCTTCAACAGTTATCAATTCATGGTTAAGTTTTTTCATCTATAACATCCTCACTTTCTTTGTCCTCTGTACTACATTTTTTTTTTATAATTTTTTTATTTATTTATTTTTCCCCCAAAGCCCCAGTAGATAGTTGTATGTCATAGTTGCACATCCTTCTAGTTGCTGTATGTGGGACGCGGCCTCAGCATGGCTGGAGAAGCGGTCCGTCGGTGCGCGCCCGGCATCTGAACCCCGGCCGCCAGCAGCGGAGTGCACACACTTAACCGCTAAGCCACGGGGCCAGCCCTGTACTAGATTTTTTTAAGCAAAACCCAGACATCATTTCAACTCTTGAAAAATGATACCAGTATAACACCTAAAAAATGAATGGTTCTTAATATCTTCAAATATCTAATCAGTGTTCACATTCCCTATATTATCAGTCACATTCTTACTTTATAAGTATAAAATAAGGATCCCTTAGCTTCAGTTGTAAATAGCTGGTGGTTAACTTGGTTAGATTAGCCCAGACCTATTTTTCTATATGTTTTATTCCTATAGCAATCTCCTACTTTGATAGGAGAGTGGACAATAGAAGTTTCTTGGGAGTAGCCTGGAAAATTGTTTTCAATTCTTCATATTCATTATTGCAACGCTTGCATACATCATGTATGTCTGATCACTTTTAGAAGGAAATGGAGCATTAGTGGGTAGTGAAAACATCTTGTAAAGCTGTGCTTCTCAAAGTGTGGTCCCTGGACCAGTAGCATCAGCATCACCTGGGAACTTGTTAGAGATGCAGATTCTCAGGCCCTACCCTCGACCTATTGAAGTAAATTGTGGAGGTAGGGCCCAGTAATCTGTGATTTAACAAATGCTTCAGTGATTTTGGTGCAAGCTAAAGTTTAAGAACCACTGTCGTAAAGAATTTTTATTTAAACGCTTAACCTCTTCAAACACCTCAATTCTATTAAGAATAGTATGTTTACATCTATAATCTTTAGCCAACTTGCAATGTAAGTTTTAGGCACCCCTAATATAGGTGCCTCAGAACTTCTGTATTTTCTTTCCAAAAATCCAAGGATCCTTTTTAAATTAGTGTCATAAATTTGGGGAGGGCATTTAAAAAGGAGCTCTGCTTTCTAAAATTCTTAAAACAAATAAATGGACATAAATGTAGATAACTTTGCTTGTCATAATACTACTTGACATTATATAGTATAGGTCTTTTTTTGTTTTTTTTATAATTTTATTTATTTATTTATTTTTCCCCCCAAAGCCCCAGTAGATAGTTGTATGTCATAGCTGCACATCCTTCTAGTTGCTGTATGTGGGACGTGGCCTCAGCATGGCCAGAGAAGCGGTAGTTGGTGCGCGCCCAGGATCCGAACCCGGGCCGCCAGCAGCAGAGCACGCACACTTAACCGCTAAGCCACGGGGCCGGCCCCTATAGTATAGGTCTTAAGTTCTCAATAATTCCTTCTGTTTTGGAGATATAAGTGTAATGCCATGTTTCCATCGTATGACCATGTGCCATATGACTGTCAGAGAGGGAGTAAATTGTGGTTGTAGATCACAAGGAGAGAAGGGTGGGAAACCATTCTCAGCAGTGCTCTACCAGCAAGCATTTTTGGTTGGCCCGGTAACTGGGAGAGGGTGCTTCCATCATTTAGTAGGTGGGAGCCAGGGATGCTAAATGTGCTGCAAGTAGATGGGAAGTAGGAGGCAGTCTTGAACAGCCAATTGTTTCATCCAGAATGCCACTAGTATCCTGTAGAGAAGCATTTCAAGAGACGCTGTTCTGAGTGATCACCACTGTTTCAAATGATTTCAGACGCATTTGCCAAGTGCTGCCAAAAATCATAGTTAAAATATAGTTTTGCAAATGGCTGGCTGACTATATGGGTGCCCGCCTAATCTTTCCCTGCTTGCTCTGGCACTGAACCGTCGTGATGGCGGGTAGTGGTAGAGTCATCATCATCTCTCAAGCTCTAAGACTATATACTATTCCTTTTTCCTTGTGCATAATCATTGTTGGCTACCTAGATTGGAGAGTAAAGCTATGAAATCACATTTCTAGGTCTTTTCCTAATCCACTCAACAGTAAATTGAAGGACAGGGGTAAGTAGATAAATAGACTGAACCATTTATACCCATGTGTGATTTAAAGAGACACAGTTCATTGATTTGAGAAGAATATAAAATATCCAGGTCTGGTTTTTACTAGAAGAATGAAAGATGCCAAAAATTTTACTAATTCAGTTTTAGGATTAAATTGAATTCCAGTTAAATTGAAGTGAAAATATTTTTTACAGCATTTTAGCTCAGGAATTCAGGCAAATCTAAGTTTTTATTTGTGTACTTAGAAACTAATTTGCTGACTGCTATGGTCCCTGGACTTTGGTAATATTATCTAAAGTCTGTCTGGAGCTTAATCCTTTATTTCTCTGGTATTTACTAGCAGAGTGGTTGCTGAGGATGTTCTAGGAATTGATCTTAACGGTTCCCTAGAGGGTGTAGGGAACCCCTGTGTAGTTTATGATTAATCACTGTGGTTTTAAAAAAGTGAATTATACATTGGAGCACTGATCGTTTTCTGAAATCTCTAACAACTGTTTGCTGTGTATTATCCAATATATTTTGCTATATATTATTCAACTTTAGCTTGGAAATTGTGAAGACTTTTGCTAATGTGGATCTGACTGTCATGGTTCCTTATTGCAGAGAGACAACTTTAAGTGGATCCTTGAACTCTGTGTCTGAACTGATTGACTATGTAGGGTGGCTGTCCACTACTGCAATGCGCTTAGAAAGCAACAGCACTTTCTTGCTGCACTTCATTTTGGATTTCTATGAGAAGGTAGCACACATTCCTTTTTCCCTATTTAGATTTTTTGATGGCTTTCTGCTTTATTGGTCTATTATTTAAATTTTATGTACAACCATTAAGTTGGGCTGTGACCTTATTAGCATCGTTAAAATAAGCTACATGTTTTGAAGTTAATGATTGTATTCTTGCCTGAATAACTCACTTTCATAAAACAAAGTGGAAAAACAAATGTTTTTTGTGAAAAGTCCAGGTACCACTTTGATAGACATTCCCCTGAATAATGCTGGCCCTAGACAGAAGTCTGTCTCTAGCATCACTTTTTGTTCATCCATTTTACATTGCCAACCCCTGGCGAAAAACCAACATACCTTCTTATTTCTTTAGCTCTCTACTCCCACCTTTCAACCACCTTATTTTTCCTGGTACCTATGATTCTGGTCTTCTATTTTTTTATAGTATTTGACCTGGACAGAACCATTATCTAGGAAGTACCCACTAATCTCAGTTTTCCTCCCTTCCTTCACTAATACCTGGTTGTCTTGTGTTATATTTGCTTAGAAGCATGCTCCTTTGTTTTCCAGGTTGACAGCTAACTAATATGATAAATCAATATTTTTTGGGACCTAAGGAGAAAGAAATGCTCCCTTCCCCATTCTCCCCCACTCTAAGATCTCTCCCCAGAAAAAAATGAAAGATTTTAATAATGATCTTCTAGAAATAATCCTCTATGGTAAGGTTGATATTTGGTGAGGTACATTTTTAAGCAGGCTTGTGGCTACCTATTCTATTTATGAATCAGGCAGGCCCAAACCTGATGTTATATCATTGCCTATTCTCTACTGATGATTCTTTGGGTGAACTTGGTTGAGGGGTTCTGGGGAATATCTGTATACTGATGTTATCATTCTTCCCAAAGGTGTGTGACATATATATAAATTATAACCTTCCATTAGTGGTGTTGTTTCCTCCTGGGATCTTCTGTTCTGCACTCCTCAGCCTGGATTCCAGTATCCTGAACCAGCTCTGTTACATTATGCACAGGTATGAAGCCTTTTTACCATTTTATGAATTAGTACATCATAATTCTATCTTCATTTTTCAACTATACAATAAATTATTATTTATAAATATAGCACAATAAATTTATTATATATAATACAATAAAATATTAAATACAATAAAATTATTATCCATTTTCTGCCAGGGCCTATGGAAATAGGAAACGTGGCTTTCTTTTGGGAATGACCTTCCAACATGAAGCTATTTTAACTGTCGTTTTTAAAATGTCACTGTGGGGGATATGGATTAAAAAATTCATAGTTAAGGATCATCTGTGCAATGGTACAGCTGTACTCAGCGTTAATTCTCATTGCTGTGTCTTAAAGAAAAATTAGTCCTTTGTTGACAACTGGTTTAGGTCTACGTTGCTTCTCTGGTAAAAAGAACATTTTCTGGGAGATAAGGGGAGCTAATTGCCACATATATGAAACTACAGGTATTATTTCTTACCCCTCTAATTCTTTCACTTATGGACTGAAATTACTTTTCTTAGTCCATAAGTGTAGACCCTTTTGGCATAACTTGTAGGACTATGCCAAAGTTAAAATGTTTTTTAAAACTAATTGGATATTGGTTTTCAGGCAAGAAAATAATTACATTTCTAAGTTTCCCCTGTAGCCTTTCTACTGCACCTTTTTTTCCACATTAAGAAAATATGTTCTGGACTGGCCCTATGGCTTAGTGGTTAAGTGCGCGCGCTCTGCTGCTGGCGGCCCGGGTTCGGATCCTGGGCGCGCACCGACGCACCGCTTCTCCGGCCATGCTGAGGCCACGTCCCACATATAGCAACTAGAAGGATGTGCAGCTATGACATACAACTATCTACCTGGGCTTTGGGGAGGGGGAGAATCAAAAAAAACAAAGAAAATATGTTCTGTATCAGTGACTGACTGCTTTTGAGCCTTTATTAATTTTTAATAGTGAAACATTAAAAGCATTTCCTTCATTGGTTTTTCCTTTTTTATTGAAGTATAATTTATAGTCAAGTGCAGATCTTAAATGTACAACTCAATACTTGAGCCTCTATTAACTTTTTTTTTTTTTTGTGAGGAGATCAGCCCTGTGCTAACATCTGCCAATCTTCCTCTTTTTTTGCTGAGGAAGACTGGCCCTGGGCTAATATCCGTGCCCATCTTCCTCCACTTTATATGGGACGCTGCCACAGCATGGCTTGCCAAGCAGTGCGTGGGTGTGTGCCCGGGATCCAAACTGGCGAACCCCAGGCCACCGCAGCGGAGCGTGTGCACTTAACCGCTTGCCCCACCGGGCCGGCCCCAAACCTGTATTTTTATTCTTTGAGGAGAATGTACCACAAAAGGATAAAACCCTTAACTAGACAGACGGATATTTGTGTATGTGCACAGCTGTATATATTTACATTTAAAATGTATGCTTTTGTTTATGTTTACGTTTCAAAGGCATTTAATGTTAAAAGTTTCATTCTATTTGTTCTCCCTTTTAGGTATCGTATAAATTTGACTGCTGCAAAGAAAAATGAGTTGGTACAAAAGGTATGGATGATAAACCTCTGTGTTACAGCACAATTGTTTAAAAATTGAGTGCAGATATATAAGATCTGTTGGGAATCAGAAGGAAAGGGAGAATAGATAATAATGACAATTGTTTTTCTTTCCCAATAGACAAAATCAGAGTTCAGTTTCAGCAGCAAGACCTATCAAGAATTTAATCACTATTTGACAACCATGGTTGGTTGTCTGTGGACATCCAGACCGTTCCAGAAAGGATTATATATTGACCCCGAAGTCTTAGAAAAAGCTGGAGTAGCAGAGTATAAAAACAGTTTAAATTTAGTCCATCATCCTGCTCTGTTGAGTTATGCTGTTTCCTTTCTGCTACAGGTAAGGGTATGTAAAGGATTTTTAGATTTTATATAGGAATACTATGATGGCAGAAACAGGAAATGCCTTAAATTTAGTGTGTCCGAATTGTAAGACATGTGTTCAGTCATTCCTTTTTGAGTATCAGCTAAATTTCAGGCATTGTGCTAGGCTCTAGGGATTCAAAGTTAACTTAAGTAAGTCTCTACCCTCCAAGAGCTTGGGCTTGTGACAGAGACAGACTTGTAAACATTATTAAAATACAGTCTGGTGAAGTGAGAAAAGGTACAGTTGTGAGAAAGATGAGGGAGTGGTTATTAGTTCAGTTCTGCTTGGGTAGAGGTGGTGCCAGGTAAGAAAGGGCTGTGGAGAAGTGAAAGCTCTCATAAAATCCTTCTAGACAAGATGGAAAATGTAGGCTAGATATTATAATCAGAGTTGGAGTCTGAGCTCAAGATTGCTGATTTAATGAGTTGATATCTGTATGCAGGCAGGGGAGGGTCTTCTCAGGACTTTATCATCAGCCCTGTCCTTTTCAACGTTATCAGTGACTAGGGGAAGAACTCAAGTGGTGTGCATATGAAATGAGTGGATGACACAACTGGATGACATTACAAATACCCTCATAGAATCCAGATTCAGAATTCCCTTAACAGACTGGAACATTGAGAAATCTAACAAAATGGGGAAAAAATGTACAGAATGGGGGAGATATTCATTGAATAAGTGTTTAATATACACATGCAATGAACCAGGCACCATGGTGAACAAGACACATCTGGGTGTTGCCCTCATAAAGCTTACAGTCTAGTTGGGGAAGAGAAGTTAAACAGATATCTTAGAATAAAGAATGCTGGGTAGTATAGGGAAAGTACAGAGGACAATTAAAAAATATACAAAGGTGCTAACTCAGGTTTAGGCTTTACAGAAGTGATGCTGATTGGAGTTTTGAAGGATGAGTATGAGCTTGCCAAGACAGGAGCAGTATTTGAGGAAATGGGAGCAGCAAACTTTTTCTGTGGGGGGCCAGATTGCAAATATTTTAGGCTTTGCAGACCATGTGGTCTCCCTCAAGACTACTCAACCTTTCCGTTGTAGCATGAAAGTGGCCGTAGACAATGGATAAACAAATGAGAATAGTTGTGTTCCAATAAAAGTTTATTTACAAAAACATGCATTGGGCTGGATGTGGGCCGTGGTTTGCTGACCCCTGTGTTAGAGCATGCTGTGTTTGAGGAACTTATGTAGAATTGTAGGGCTTGAGCAGGGATTCTACCCTGACTGAGCAGCAGAACTACCCAGGGTGCTTTTCCAAAGTATACATCCTTGATTGCTCCCACCTTGAGATTCTGATTTAATAACTTGGGTGACATCCAGGATCTGCTTATTAAATATAATTATTCTGATGTACAACAAGGGTTGAGAGCCACTGGTCTAGACTATAGCATGGTAGGAGATGAGGTTTTGAAATGTAGTCAAGGACGAGATGGTGAGAAAAGTAATATGTAGGTCTTCAAAAACATTGATTGATTTCAATATATGAATAAAAATTACATTTTTAAAGTACATAGAGGAGCTTCAGAGGCTACAGTGTAGTTTAGTGATTTTCTGATATTCCTTCCTCTTTTTCTTGCATTCATAATAACTTGCCTGATTTATCATACAATATGTAAAAACTTGTTTCAAGTTAATAATATTAATAATGAGACTCCTGGATGAAATTGGAAATATTTTTCTTTTTGCCCCTGGACTAAATCCTACTACAAATGTACAGTGCACATACTCTATTTTACATACAGTTAGGTACATTTGTTTCAGTTTGTTTTCATGTTTTAGAGATTGCTTTTTTTCTTTTTTATTTAATTTGATTCTTGGAATATGTAAAACATTTACATGATTCCAAATTCTAAACTATAGAAATCCCACTTCCATCCTTGTCTCCTCCATTTTTTCTCTTTTTCTGCCTTTAGGAAGCCATTTTTATTGCTGCTTGTTTTTTCTATCTGGTACTTCCTTTCTTTAAACTTAGTAAGCATTGTTTTATAATCTGTGTCTGATAATTCCAGTATCACAGGTTTTTGTGTGTCTGTCTCTGTTGCCTTCTTTTTTTGCTGCTTCTTCCTCATGTTGCATAGTTTTTTTGTGTATCTGGTTATTTTTGACCATGTACTGGACACCTGAAATATTTTTGTAGAAAGAATCATTAAGATTAGAATGGTATCTTCCTGCAAAGAGGGCTTTCATTTGCTTCTCACTGGTACCTAGGGGTGCTCTTTGTCTGGGACCACCCTAATCCAAGTTCTATGCCCGAGATTCTCAGACCATAGGCAGACAGATGGAAAGCCTGTGAGAAGGCTGATTTACTTCTAGTGCACTCTTACCTTGGGTTTGTAGTTTAAACTGGGGGTTGGTTTATGAGTTCCCACTTTGGGCAAACCCGGTGCTTGACTTTAGTCACCTTAGCCCTTCAAGACTGTGGAAATGCAGCTCAGTGTTGCAACTGATTCCTCTGGATTGGCAAATTTCCTCAGGCCAAGAGTGACTTTGGGTATTAGGTTTACCCTCTGGGTTCTCATCTTCTAGATTTTGGCTTACCTTACCATATATTTTGGCATTCCTTACCATATTGTTAGCTCTTTGTTACCTTTTTTACAAAACCTTTTATTTTGTAAATTTCGAACATACGAAAGTAGAAAGAATAGTATAATGAACCCCCATGTACCCATCACCCAGGTCAGTCTCTACTACCATCCAGTTTTATTTTTTATTTATTTATTTTATTTTATTTTTTATTTTTTTTTATTTTTGTGAGGAAGATCAGCCCTGAGCTAACATCCATGCCAGTCCTCCTCTTTTTACTGAGGAAGACTGACCCTGGGCTAACATCCGTGCCTGTCTTCCTCCACTTTACATGGGACGCGGCCACAGCATGGCCTGACAAGCAGAGCATCGGTGCGCGCCCGGGATCCGAACCCGGGCTGCCAACAGCAGAGCACGCGCACTTCACCTCTACGCCATGGGGCTGGCCCCCTACCATCCAGTTTTATACCCAATTATTTTGAAGCAAATACCAAATGTTATACAATTTTACTGTAAATGTTTCGTTATATACCTCTAAAAGATATAGACACTTTTTAAAAATTTTCTCTCTTCCTTTTTTTTAACAACTTTATTAAGATATAATTCAAATACAATAAAATTCACCCATTTAAAGTATAGAGTTCAATGGCTTTTAGTATATTCACAGAGCTGTGCATCCATCACCACCATCTATTTTAGAATATTTTCATTATCCCAAAAAGAAATCCTATACCCGTTAGCTGTCACTCCCCAGACTCCCCATCTCCCCAGTCCTAGGCAAACACAAATCTACTTTATATCTATGTAGATTTGCTTCTTCTGGAAATTCATAAAAATGAACTCATACAACATATAGTTTTTTGTGACTGGCTTCTTTCACTTAGCATAATGTTTTCATGGTTTATCTATGTCATAGCATGTATCAGTACTTCATTTGTTTTTACTGCCAAATAATATTCCTTTGTATGGATATGCTAGATTTTGCTTATCCATTCATCAGTTGATGGACATTTGGGTTATTTCTACTTTTTTACTATTGTGAATGATGCTTCTATAAAGATTTATGTACAAGGTTTTGTGTGGACATATGTTTTCATTTCTCTTGAGTATATACTTAGGAGTGGGAATGCTGGATCATGCAGTGCTTCTATGTTTACCTATTGGAGGAACTTCTAGGTTGTTTTCCAAAGTAGCTGCACCATTTTACTTTACTACCAGCAGTGTGTGAGGGTTCAATTTTCTCCATGTCTTCCCCAAGACTAGGTATTATCTTGTTTTTTTGATTCAAGCCATCCTAGAGGGTGGGAAGTAGTATCTCATTGTGGTTTTGATTTACGTTGCCCTGGTAGCTATTGATGTTCAGCATCTTTTCATGTGCTTATTGCCCATTTGTATATTTTCTTTGGAGGAATGTCTATTCAGACTGTTTGCCCATTTTTAATTAGGTTATTTGTCTTGTTATTGACTTATAAGAGCCATTTCTATATTCTAGACTTAAGTCACTTATCAGATATATGGTTTGCAAAAGTTTTCTCCTTTTCATTTTTTTGTTGGTATCTTTTGAAGGACAAAAGTTTTTAATTTTGATGAACTCTTAATTTGTGAATCTTTTCTTTTATCACTTCTGCTTTTTTATTAATGCCTGCCATTTCCTACTGCCACCCATCCTTGGCAACCACCATTCTACTCTCTGCTTCTATGAGTTTGATTATTTTAGATTCATCATATAAGTGGTATCGTGTAGTATTTGTCCTTCTGTGTTTGGCTTATTTCACCTAGCATAATTTCCTTCAGCTTCATCCATATTGTCATAAATGGCAGGATTTCCTTCTTTTTTAAGGTTGCATAATATTCCGTTATGTGTATATGCCACATTTTCTTTATCCATTCATCTGTTGATGGATATTTACATTGCTTCCATGTCTTTGGCTTTTGTGAACAATGCTGCAGTGAACATGGGAGTACGGATATCTCTTCAAGATCCTAATTTCAATTCCTTTGGATGTATACCCATAAGTGGAATTGCTGGATTATATGGTAGTTCTATTTTTAATTTTTTGAGCAACCTCCATACTGTTTTCCATAGCAATTGCATCGATTTACATTCCCGCTAACAGTGTACAAGGGTTGCCTTTTTTCCACATCCTCGCCAATGCTTATCTTTTATTTTTTGATAAAAGTCATCTTAATAAGTGTAAGGTGATATCTCACTGTGGTTTTGATATGCATTTCTCTGATGATTAGTGATGTTGAGCACCTTTTCATTATCTGTTGGTCATTTGTATGTCTTCTTTGGAGAAATGTCTTTTCAGTTCCCTTGCCCATTTTTTAATCAAGTTGGTTTTTTTGCTGTTGAGTTGTAAGAGTTCCTTATATATTCTGGATATTAACCCTTTATCAGATATGTGGTTTGCAAATATTTTCTCCCATTTAGTAGGTTG